CATCTGGCTCCACTGTCTGAGGTCCCTTAGACTGTCAGTCCTTCTGGCTGAGACCCATATTCAGGGGGGCCTGAGTTATTTCCATGCTGGTTTCCCAGCTATCAGTCTAGTGGCCCATTAGCTCCTCCTTGTTCAGGTAAGCTGTCTCTATGTGTTTCTGCCGCCTGGTCTTGTCCTCTCCCTCTGCATCTGAGTTCTACTTCGACTCAGTGTTTATGTATGGGTGTTTGCTTCTGTTTCCAACAGGCATTAGTTGAGGGCTCCATGGATAAGTTAGTTGTTGATCTCACTCTCCGGGAAGGGCACTTATGATAGCCTTTCCATGGAAGCTGAGATTGTTAGTTGGGAGCAGTCTTGTAGTTCTCTAGACCTTTCTTTGTGTTCAATTTTATCTTCAAACCAATATTGGCTCCCTCTTTTATGTTCTCTCTCTCTGTCTCTGCCTCTCTCTCCCTCTTTCCTGTCTTCTATTCCTAACCAGGCTCAATCTTCCTGGTCGCACATGTTTTCCTTTCCTCCCCCTTGTTTTCTCCAACTTCTCTCTCCATTCGCTGCCCCCCCCCCACTTCCCCTGAGCTCTGGGGGACTTGTCCATTACCAGTTCTGTGAGGGACTTTATATGAATCTCTTAGAATACACCTTGTATCCTAGTTCCTCTGGTGGTGTGAATTATAGGCTGGTGATCCTTTGATCTAGGTCTAAAATCCATATATGAGTGAGTACATACTGTGTTCCTCTTTTTGTGACTGGGTTACTTCATTCAAGATGGTTTCTTACTGGTGACATTTCTAAAGTTGTTCCCATGTCAGAATCGTGTCACTGTAGGAGCCATTTTGCAAGATTAGGTAATCATTTACCTAATCTTGATGATGAGCAGAATCATGGAGCTTTTGTCTTCACTCGAAACTGGAATTGTGGAATACAGACAGTTCTCTAGAGCTGCAGTTTACCCTCAGTCATTCCAAACACAGGCAGTAGGGTATTGACTATTCCTATCGACTGTTTGCCTTTTGTTCTTTGTTCATGTCTCCCATGTATAAAACAGTGCACAACAAAATTGTTTAGCCATTGATTTTTGTTGGCCAAGGTCCAAGCATTGGCCAAGGTCCAAGCATTATGGTTTCTTAATGTCTTTCTATAAGATTTATTTTGTGCTGTTGTTTTGTAAAATCACAAATCTCTAGTTAAAAGGTTCTTGTTAAGTTCACATTACATAGAAGCATACATTTTTAATATTTCAGGCAAAAAATGTAAATGCATATAATGCCCTTTAGGGTACATCTTGAACCAGAAATCCTGGAGAATGACTTGGAGTGAGCTACTAAGTAATTTTTAACAAAATATATTTGATTTTCCAGGACATATGACCTTAAATTTTAAGTAGTTTTGTTTGTTTGCTTGTTTTTAGGTAGACATGTTCAAGGTTTTGAACTGGATTTGTTTTGAAACAGGATTTTAACTGGCTTTACTAGAACTCATATATAGACAAGGCTTGCCTCCAGCTCATAGAACTCTACCTACTTCTGCCTCTCAACTATTGGGATTAAAAGTGTGTACCACTACACCCAGATTTTTTAAAAGTGTAACTCAGGTTGGCCTTGTAATCCTACCCCTGCCTCTTTGACATAGCCTACCTCCATAGTCATGTGTCGCCACAACCAGCAATAATTCTTACCATAAAAAATTATTAAGTTCTATGAAATATTTTTCATACCTATTGAAAGTTATTTGCCAAATAACTTTGTGGCAAGTGTACTTTCATTTCTTTTTTTTACAATTTCATTTGTAAAAAGAGGCGATTCTGCTAATGAATTAAGAACACATTCACTACTTCATATACCATGTGATCTGTATAACTTAATATCTGCATATTTTGTAAATTGTATAGTCAATATAATTGTAATGTATACTGACACTACTTCAAGCATAGCTGTGTGATCAGTTTTTGGGGTTTTTGTTTTTCACCATCTTATTAAAATTTACTACAAGATTTTAAACACCTGAGGAAATAATGACACTTATTTTACAAAGAGAAAAAAAGAGTTAAGAATATAGCCACTAGTACATAGAAGACCATTTAAACAGAGGTTAGAAACACTGAATTTTCAAATTCAATTTGAAAGAAAGTAGGAAAAGAAAAGGGCATAGGAAGGTAAGGTTGCAATGCAAAATTACCCTAATAGCAGCAATTCCAAATATACCAATACTTAAAAACATGAATAGACTAAACTTCCTTCTTAAAACACAGGGATTATTTGAGTTATGAAAATTAAACCCAGCTATATAAAAGAGTAGGCAGGTTGCAAAAGGTGTTACAGAATACTAATCTAAAGGCACATACTGTCATTAAATTAATGAGAGAAAATGTGATCTTTAGCTTAGAATGTCTTGTTAGATGTAGAAAATATCATATGAGGATGAAAGTCTTACTTTATGTGTAAAGTGTACCAATGCTAGAATGTTATGCATTTAATTACCAGCCTTGCACAGTATTAAATAAACCTAATGAGTTTATAGAAAGATATGAAAAATATGCCATCATAATAGGTGATCAATAACCACAGTTATTATAGCACTCTGGTAAGGTAAACAGATGGCTTCAGGCTTATTGCCCAAAGTAGGATATCTCACACAACCAGAAGAGTCAATGACTGACACTGTGCTACTAAAAATGCACGGGGGGAAATGGGACAAAGCTGGTTCTTGAAGTAAAGTTGGAAAGGTAGTAAAATGTCCAAACCAGAATTTTATTAATGAATCTAACCTTGTGCTTAAGTTTGATATATCAGTCAAAATTTATTTCGTAGACATTATTTAAAATATAGTTAAATAATGGATAGGAAGAATGAGATTGTCTTATAGTGGTATATTCCTTACATTCAGGTATAATTCATTATACCCAAATGTAATGAAGGATCTACTGCACAGCTGTAAACACATCACCATGCCTCTGGTGTACACATAGCTCTTGGAAATGGGGGGGGGGGGACTGCCAGCTCACAAGGTTCATTCATGTTACTCCTTAGAAGAGCAAATTAAGATTAGAAATAATATGTGTTAAGCCAGACATGGTAGTTCATGTCTCATGTACCTAATCCCAACACTTTGGGAAGCTGAAGCAGGAAGATGATCATGAGTTCAAGACCATCTTTGGCTACATAGCGAGAGACAAGCCAGTCTGGGCTGAAAATTGAGATCATATCTCAGAAAACCACACAGAAAAAGAAAATGGTGTGCATTGCTTTGTACTTTACACATTTACAGTCATGAATTTAGTGTTGGATGCTTGCATACCAAATATAGTTAACACCAGTTTGGGGGCATTGACAGCATTCTTTCTTCTTTTAATAAATGATATTCATTCAATTTGTCCAAAGTTGTTTCAGGCCCAAATGCATATCTGATTCCAGTCTAGCTTGATTGCTCTATTTTATCAAAGTGATGTAAAATTGATAGGAATGGAATGTTTGCTGTGGTAATAAACAGTGCTTTCAATGTAATTATGTCTTTATTGTGAAGTCTGTATATTTCAGACTTGAGTTTTAGAAATATTAATGGCAACTTTGTAAGCATGAGAAGGAAGAGATTGGTGACTTAGTCTGTAAGGGAGAGAAGAAGAGCCTTGAGATTACCTCCTTTCTTGTGGACAGACGTCTGCCAAAGACATTTTAAAACCAGTCCACATCTCTGTAAAAGGAAGGCAGAAATGAACACATTGCCCCTGTGGATCCATTCCTGAAGCCTTCAGATAGGAAGATTTAGTGAGGTCTCGTAGACCAGTCTGTCCCGTGCTCTGCTCTGTCCTCTCTACTGAAGTCCCTCACCTCCTTTCCCCTTCCACAGCCCCCTCCTAGCAGCTTCGCCTTCCCACTACAGAGATACTTGAGTGCCAAGTTGGTGCTTGAGGCAGGGCATCTGCTGCTAATAGCATGCCAAGTAGCCTCAAGACTTTTAAAAATACTCCCAGAGCTGCTTGGCCCTGAGCCTTGTCTGGCTTTCTCTGAGGGTAGCTGCAGTTAGTACTGCTTGCAGGAACACAGGGATCCATGGCTAAAAGCCTTTGGAGAACTTGGCTTGCTTCATTGAGCATTCCAGCACCATTTCCTACCTACTTTCCACACTGTCAAATGGGAGTAGTTACCTTGTTGGACTGTAATAATGATGAGAATAAGAACAGTGCCTGAGAAAGGGCCTGCCATATGTTCTACTCCCTGTAAAGGCGCTATCATCAGTGTTTTGTTAATTATCCATTCTGATTGCTCTGACCAGCAGAATAGTTTCCATGAAAAGCAAAGCTGGGCTGACTGAGCTGCCACCCGTTGGAAAGCTTATACCACATCAAAGGCTTTGCTTCTATCCATTTCTCCAATAATCTTGAGACACATACCCTCTATCTACTGTTGTTTTAAAGGTCATCTTGAATTGATTCTGCCCCGTATCATTTAAGCATATCTGTTTGCTAACCTGTATGCTCGTATCAGAATGGCTGGCATTTGGCAGGACACTTGCTTCAGTAATTTTATATTTCAGGCAAGAAAATAGAAATTCTTGGGGAAAAGTAATTTTAGTAACTAGAGAATTTAATAGCAGCTCTATTTTAATTCTCCTAGTTATTTGGTATTAATTTCCTATAAATGCAGCCATATGTGCATGCTATATAAAGATTCTATGAATAAATGCTGGCAACTGTTTGATAAACTGTCTTCTCTAATTTTCTACTTCTGGGCTTACTTTCATCCATTCTGAAATAATCAGTACTTTGCTTACAGTCAAGATATTTTCAGCCAACAGTACCTAGCATATGTAAAGAAAAGGTCAGTTTGGAGTAACAGATACTGGAAGGATGCATATGAATTTGGTTTGTTTATTTCAGCAGGTAATTTAAGTTGCTTTTGTGGCCAGGAATCAACTGAAGTACATAAAATATGGCGTAAGCCCGAGGTCCTACTTAGTGGATATCTTCTTTGGTCTGATTTCTCTATTTTTGCTTGTGTTTTTAGGCTCAGCTATGTAAATCATGCTGAAGATCTGGCTTCCAAGCTTCTACAGTGTTCCCCAAAGAACAGGCTATCTGCACAGGCTGCCTTGAGCCACGAGTATTTCAGCGATCTGCCCCCGCGGCTATGGGAGCTGACTGATAGTGAGTAGGATTCATCTGCAGCATCAATCAAAGCACTTTGTCATCAATATGTAGCATGCATATAGACAGATGGGCTCATCCATGTGTGCATAAATATTGTATATATATTCATATATATAAGCATAAGATTATGTATAATTGTGTGTTATGTGTGTGTGAGAAAGAGAGGGACATACACATACACACACACACACACACACACACACAGAGAGAGAGAGAGAGAGAGAGAGAGAGAGAGAGAGAGAGAGGTGATCGCTCAAGCCAGAAGGGGGATCATGTGTGTATATATATTTATTGGAGTTCTGCCATTCAATTTCTAGCTTACTAGACACAGAAAGAAAATGGATTCATTTTTTGCTATCTCTACTCTGCAGTCTGCAGCTGCACGTCTTTGTATTTGATTATGTGTGTGTCCAAAAAATGATCTGAGCAGTCATAAAGGCAAAGGGAAATATGATTTACATATTTAGTGCTTTCTGCATACAGGGCTATTTTAACTGGCTGCAGTACACAGAGGAGAAATGATTCATTTCTGTTTGATTTTCAGAGACCATCTTGGTTGTAACAATACCCTTAAAGAGCACTGTTAGGCAGTGAGCGGAAGAACAGAGCCGCCAATTGGCTAATGCACTGAGCTGACATGTAAGAACCGAAGACATGTAATTCATTTTAACTACACATGCTCTTGGTATTTGTACAGACAGCTCTTCTCTAGATCTTTTTAAAACAAAACACATTCCTGGGTGGGTTTTTGTTTTGTTTTTACAAAAGTGCTCATATTTGCACAGGCTTTTTCAATTACATTTAAAGTATTTGGGGAAGGATTTATGGCTGGGTGGATCTCAGCTTTCTTCCCAAGTGTGAAACAGAATTCTTGTGCAATTTTGAAAAACACTGTGGCAGCAGTAGGAATATTTTTATTCGGTGGCAATATGTTCTTTTCAAAGACCCATTAGAGATGTTTCTTAACATATTTTCCTGATTGCCTTAAAAATAGCATACTGTATAGATGTATACATACTTATAATGTACTTATTAATTCTTGTACATACATCTCTTATAGTCGATGTGAAGTTACTTCCTTTTTCACTAGGAGTTTTGAGTACCCCTGAAGTATTGGATTCTCCATAGCAAACAGTCACAGTCACTCTTTGTTTTGTAATTAAGTCCTAAGTAACAACTCCTTTGAGCCTTGAGCCTTCTTAACCTAATTTCTCTCTCTCTCTCTCTATATATATATATATATATTTCACATTTATTTCTATATATTTTCTTATTGCCCTGAGGTAACTATAGTAACTATAGAGTTATTGGCCTGATACTCTCCTTATGCTTACAAATCTTCATTAATATTTCAATTATGCCCAAACTAAATTTCTTTTATCACCCATCTTACTTCCGTTCTAAAGATCTACTGTTTATTGTAACAGTGATCCCAAACTTTAAAAGATAACTCAAGATTAAAACCTATTAAAAAACACAACAAAGTAATGGATTGATCTTGCATACCCTTATACTGGAAAAGACAAAAGGTACAATGGGATCATTTGTTTACAGCTGCCTGGACTTCAGAACTGGGGTTTCTTTTCCCCATGCAGTACAGCTTCCTCCTTGATCTCACCCCTCCTTGGAGACATCTCAATCCCGGTCAACTTGATGACTGAGTTTAAGCCAGATTTTGAGGGTCTGTGAATTCTGAATTCTGTAGTAGTACTTTCCTGTTAATAGGGACTTATTACCCACTTGCCACTTAGTTTATCATCCAGTGGTTAAATCCAGTTTCTGTAAGGGACTAAATGCCTACACATTATCACTGAGCAGCAGACTGCCAGCCGAGACAGCCTTGTCCCCGTCATTAACAAGTACAATGTATGCAGAACACCAGAGGGGAATTAAAACCACAAAAAATACCTCAGGGTGGTATTTTTAATATGAGAATTTAATTTGTAATTTCACAGATTAAGAATTTTGGCTGCATTAATCCCTTTATCAGCTCACAGCAGGCTATTTGCAGAAGCATAACCATAAGGCGATATTCATTGGCAGAAACACGTCTCTGTATAACGTTAGACATCAGGAGCAGCGAAACCTTTTGAAGGGGGGAGAATAAAGATGAAAAATCATTATATTTTTAAAGCAAGATTCTACTAAATGCCTCTGGTAACAATTTTGAGTTACAGAAATGCTATTTCTGTGTCTAGAAGATAATCATTATGAAGGATAAATCCATTCGCAAGAAAGGACAATCCCAGTATTAAATACTATAGTCATTTCCATTTAGAACAACGTGGCTGCCCTTGTAAACATGTTTGCAAAACAAAGAATCCCCAGACTTATGTGACTTTGGGAATTAGGCTTGTGTGACTCTTGTCTGAGTTAATATTCAGCTGACTGTACTCAGAAATTCTTGAGATTCTTCAAGTCAAACTTCAGATTAGTGTAGATTTTTTTATAAAGTTCCCTCTCTAGCAAAAGGGAGAATTTGTGACAGAAACAGACCCCTCGTGTTTCAAGGGAGTTTGGGGGAGGATGGACCTGTCAGGAAGTACCACAGAACCAACAAACTGATGTGTATGCAAGTGGTTGTACTGAGTCACCAATTCCAGGAGCCTAGCTGTCTTGGTCAACTTACATTGTCATCAGGAAATATCATAGGGTGGGAAAGTGAGACAAGAGATGTTTATTGTCACAGTTCCCAGGGATGGACAGTTGGAGATGAAGGTGCTGGATGATTCTGTTCCTGGTAAGGGCTGTCCTCACAGCTGTCAGAGGCCCACCCTGATTGGTCTTTACAGTACAGGGAACAGTTCTCTGTTCTTCTTATAAAGCTACTAATCCCATCATGAGGACCATCCTCTCCCTGAGGTCATCTAAGGTTCATCACCTCCCAAAGGTCCCATTCTCAGATGCCAACACACTGGGGCTGGACCCTAACATCAACTTGGAAGGGGACACAATTCATGCTACAAAGATCTTAGTCTCTGGTGACTCAGTAATTTTTAGAAGGATGTCCACCAACAAACAAACAAACAAAACAAAACAAAAAACCTTAAGGCAGAAAGGGAAATAAATGAAAATAAAAAAGGAAATATTGGAATATTGGTCTCCAGCATGGACCTGAATTGATTAATCAGACCCCGTGGGTGTAGGGTCCACATAGTTGTGAGAATCAATGGCAATGGATCTGGTTGGGCCTCACAGGGAAGTGACCACCATTGAGCAGATAATACACCTGACAAGGCTGATCTGGATTCACCAGGAACAGGGGTAGGAAGTCTGAAGTGGAAGTGTGTTGCAGATGGCCAAGCCCTGATGGTGGTGTGCGACTGACTTCTCAGAATGGTCACCAAAGCACATTGGAACATTTATTGTAGTCACCTAATGAAAAAATTTAGAGGTGAAATATTAGTGTCATCAAAGTAGGAAAGAGAATAAATGCATCAAGAAAAGTAATTATACAGCTACCTAGGGATCTGTCTGCTGGTCAAAGCTGACCAAGGATGGTGACAGTCATTCTCTTCCTGTCCCCAAACCCCAACAGCCTTGTTCTACTTCTTCACAAAGATTTAATTGCAGGGAAATAAATAGCGGGCTGATTTAGAGGAAATTCATTACTTTCCCGAAGCACACCACGAGGCATTCTCCTGTGTATACTATCAAGTTACATAAATAATTGAAGCTGAACTATCCTTGTCAAAGTAAATGAACAAAATATACTTCACAGCACAGAGTCCTTGATTTTATTACATTCATTTGCTAATTCATAAAACTCAAATCTCCTAAAAGAAGGCCAGAAATTGGTCCAGTGTGGAAGTCTAAGCTGGGCCTCAGACAACCAGACTGGAAGCTCAGCTCCACAGGTCTGTGGTCAGGCAACTGATGTGGGCCTTCATCTCTATGCTTCCAACTTCTCGAACAAGCTGAGGAAGGACCCTTCTAGATCTAATATTTATAGCTTTACCCACATGACCCTCTCTAATACCTTACCACCACCATGCTATTATATAGTGTCATGCCATCTTTTTATGGATGCAGCAAGCACACCTACTTTTCTTTTATCAATTAATAAATGTATTTATTTTGAGACAGGGTTTCACCGTATAGACTAAACTGACCCTAAACTCGCTGAGCTTCCTGCCTGCCTCTTCCCTCCTAATGCTGGGATTACGCTCTTGTGCCACCTTGCCAGCCAGCACACCTGTTTTAAACACTTTGCTCTTTCCTTTGTCCGGTTGAGTCTTGCCTGTCTTCCACCTAGACAGCAGTAACTTTCAGTGCTGTGTCAGCTCCTGTCTATGGAGCTTTTGCCAGCTCTCAACTTCTCTGTCAGTGGCCGCCTCTTCCTGCTGATACTTCCTTCACTTGGCTTCCTGGCAGGAATCTTTCATGGTTTCCTTTGCACCTCCTCTAACTTTCCCTTGCAAACTCTTTTTGGCTGGCAGCCTGGCTCACTCCAAGAGCCAGGGAACCACATCCAGTCAACACTGACAGCTCCTAAGGGCCCATTGCTAGTCCTAGCTCCCCCGACTCTCTTAGTCAAGTAACTGTTAGCTTCTCCACTTAGCCACTAGACACTGAAAAGATGTGGTTACTAGACTCAGACTCATAAGCTTTTTACCCCAACTTGGTCTCTCTGGATTCCTACTCTTGAGAATAAAAGACAATACTATCTTTCTGTGTGATGGAGGCAATGCATCTCCAGATTCACACCAGTCTTCACTTTTCACTCTCCCCCAAGTTGCATGCTGCTCCCCACTACTGTGTGGTCACAAAGCAGCCAAAGTCAGCTCTGGCTTTTTGTCTTCACATAGTTTTGTGCTTGCTTTCCCTCTGGGGTTTCCTGCCCTCTAGCCTTCATATGGCTGTTCAAACATCCCTTCTCTATCAGGGGCAGCTCTGGCCTTCTTTCTCTGCAGCCTCCATTTTTCCTTCTTTACTTCTTTGTAACAGTTGCCATTATTTGTCAGGTTTTTGTGGGCTGATTATTTTGTCTCTCCCAGTCAGAAGGTCCCAAGGTAAACATTTCCTTCCACTCAGATGTGGCTTTTTTGTTTTTTGTTTTTTTTGTTTTTTTGTTTTGTTTTGTTTTGTTTTGTTTTGTTTTCTTCTGGTTTTTCAACACAGGGTTTCTCTGGCTTTGGATCCTGTTCTGAACTAGCTCTTATAAACCAAGCTGGTCTCAAACTCACAGAGATCTGCCTGCCTCTGCCTCCCGAGTGCTGGGATTTAAGGTGTACACCACCAATGCCCGGGTACTCTGATGTGTTTGATACAGGATTCTGAAATTTCCCAGGAAATGTTATCGTAAAAAAAAAAAAAAAAAAAAAAAAAAAACCCCCCCCAAAAAAAAAAACAAAAAACTACTTCTCTCATGAGTGACTGAAAAAATGGCAAAGACTTACCTCCAAATCCAAGTTTATTTTTCTAAGGTCATAAAAAGTGGGAGCTGTGGCCCGACTCATGCAAATGTGGATGTGTGTGCTTGTGTGTATGTGGAATGTACTGTGTGTGCCCAAGCACCTTTGACCACTTTGTGTTTCAAATGCCACCACTTACCACAGTGTTCCACATGCTGGACATCCAGACTGCATGGCATTTCCTTTTTAAACAAAATGTTGTCAATGTGTATATAGATGTGTAAATGGGAACTTTTTGTTCTCTCCTCAGTGTCTTCTATTTTTACCGTCCCAAATGTGAGATTGCAACCTGAAGCTGGAGAGAGTATGAGGGCCTTTGGAAAAAACAATAGCTATGGCAAAAGTCTATCAAACAGCAAGCACTGACAAGGCTGACATTCTCCTGAGAGCACAGGTAAGAGGCCCTGCTTTACTGGAAAGTAGTATTCACAATAGACTTGGAACAGACCTGTTCACTGAAATATTTCAGAATAAATTTCCCCCTGAAACTGCCTTATGAGTCCAAGGGCTGTTTTCAAATTTTTCAAACATTCGGCTGAGGCAGAAACCAATCAGGAATGTCAGTGTTTTCAAGCACCTTCTAGGCTCTAAATCCATGTGCAAACTATTTAGTCACCAGCGTCTACCTTAACTGCTCTTGAATTCATCATTGGAGTTAGGAAAGTTTCACTTTGACCTGCACCTAAACCACAAAATTGTTTTGTTTGGCCAATGCAATTTGTTTTTTTAATTATTTGCTGACATTTTAAAATTAGGATGTTTCATATAGAAGTCAACATTCTTAGCTTCTCATAAAGTATCGGTGACTCTGACAATACTCCTCTTCCGTCCCATCAGAGGATTTTATTGTGATAAGAGAGAATGACCAGCCCCTTTTTTAAGATAAGCTGGTCACTGGGCCCTCCTTGGTTTCTGACTCCTGCCCAGCCCAGCCTCTGGCAGAGATCTATCATGCTTTCAGAGTTTCGTTCTTTGACCTCTACTGTTTTGCAGATAGGAACTGTAATCTACCTTGGTGATGTTCAGACATGTCAGTGTATCAAGTCATTACACATGCCCAGTGACAAGTGTAAGACAGCAATGTCTGAAGGACTGCTCTTTCTGGGTTACCAGAAAGCAATGTCTGGATTTTTTGTAACATCTCACTCATTTGTTTGTTTGTTATTTCTAGTAAGGATTTCTGTGTAGCTCTGGCTATCCTGGAACTCCTTCTGTAGACCAGGCTAGCCTCAATCTCAGACATCTGCCTGCCTCTGCCTGCTGAGCTGGGATTAAAGGCATGTGGTGCCACCACCGCCCACATCTCACTTTTAAGCAAATGGAGAATGAGATTCCCTTGTGAGAAAGCCTTATTTTATGTGGGTTCCTGTAAAACATGTTCATCACTTCTCTGTGTTCCATAACTAAGGGTAGAATGAAGTAAGGTGAATGGTGTGTATGTGTGTGTGTGTGTGTGTGTGTGTGTGTGTGTGTGTGTGTGTATGTGTGTGTGTGTGTCTGTGTGAAGTGGTGAGTGTAGGCAAGAGAGTGATTTCAGGTGCCACCCTCAACATCTGCCCACCTACTTTTTAAGACAGGGTCTTTCATTGAACCTGGAACTCTGATTCAGGTAGACTAGCTGCCCAGCCAGCCTCAGGAATCCTCCTGTCTCTGCCCTTTGCCTCTCTAGCTCCCTAGCATTAAGATTACAAGTATGCATTGTTTGGCTTTTTTTTTTTTTTCATGTGTTCTGGTGGGGAATGGTCTGGTTTTCTCCTATTTGGAAATATGGTAAGAAGCTAAGTGGACAGATGGCAAAGACTGCAAATTCAGATGTGCACCCAGCCCTGTGAAAGACCCACCAGGATCTTCAGCAATTTCAGAACTTAGCTTTTCATGCTCTCAGCATGGAGTTTAATTTTGCCAGCCCAGGAGTGCAGTAGAGATTTATGTTGATTTGAAAGGGGAAAAAAGTTTCCTGGTTAAATATGGCTTGTAAAGCTGATCAGGAGCTACTACTCTTAAACCTGCAGCTCCACAGGAGAGAGCACAGCTCTTCCTTCAGGCTATCGGATGTATGGTTACCTGGAAAGAATTTCACTCAATGACATCTGGGACCTACTTCAAGGAGCAGCTGGTTGGATAGACTGGGAATATGATTTTAACCATTTTCTGACCAGTAGCCTCATGTTTCTGAGAACAGTTTGATTCCTGAGAGTGGTATGTAGCATGCACATTTTAAAAGCATTTAGTCCCCACATTACAAACTCCTCAGCTGATTGGCAGAATAAGAATGAAATGTAGGCTCTGTTTTATTGATTCACACACAAAAGCAATCCTGAATTTCCATCACTTGACCATATGTGTCCTTTCTTCTTGGCTCTTCTGAATGCTCCTGATCTAGGTAATCAAAGCTGCAATGATGTGTTTAAGATTAGTTTATTCTTGTAAAACCAAAGGGAGCTGACTGGCAGAGCATTGCCTAGAAAGATTCAAAACTTGCTAGCAGAAAAGAGGAATCCAAAAGTACTTGGGGACACAGCCCACAGTGCTCATAGAGCTTGTAGTATGCTTCTGCAGTATGCTTCCTTACACTGGATACAGAGCTGTATCTATAGGGAATGATTCTTTCTACAAGTAATAACAATACAAATAGTTTCCCTGTGAATGTTGTCCTTGTCACATCAATTTTGAAGGCTTCAGAGTTACTGTTACTTTAGTAACATTACATATGATTCAGTAGGACACTAATGAACTATCTCAACTCTTTTCAGCACAGCTGAAGGAAAGCTGGGTTCTAACATATGTCTGTCAAAAGAAAAAGAAATCATCTTAGTTTCTTACTTTCGAAAGTTTAACTCCAAATGTGTCCATGTTAGAGATCAAATAATGTGGCCTATTTATTGGTCCCCTACAGCAGATGGCACGGCTTCTTTCTGATCAACAGATGAATTTCAAATTAGAGATATTATAAATTTAAAAGCCATATTAATAAGTGATTCTCAGAAAAAAACAGAATCTTCTAATCTTTGATTTTCTGATTCTTTTAAAATTTATTTATCACCTGTTTAGAGCAGTCTGTGGCATATTAAATTTCACTGAGATATCTCAGTTTTTTATAGCACTCATAGTGCTATAAAGAGGGGGAAAGCCTGGGGGGGGGGCTGAGGGAACCTGAGTCCAAGCTAGAGTTTTAGATCACCTCTGGTGATCTGCAGGCTCTTGGCATGGAGCTTGCATTATGCCATACTGATTTTGAAATGAAAGGGGCTGGGCAGTCAGGAATGCTTCAAGTCCTAATATTTCTTTTATGCCTCAATGCCACATTATTTCTTTTCTTGCAAACCAAGGTCACTCCAGTTATTTAGTTAGTAATGGTGGATTTACATAAATTGGCCACTAATTAGTGGAAAAACAGTGAGATGCATTTTGCTTTCCAGAAGAAAACAATGTGGGTTTTAGAGTCTTGTGGCAAAATTAAATGAAAAGAAATGTGCAAGTGCCTGGGTTAAGAATAGGGATAGCTGCCATGGGTGACAAAGTACTGAGTCCTCTACATTTTGTTACTCTCCAGGGAAACCCCTGAGTTGTTTCATAGCTTGTTCCCACCCTTTTGGTCAACTGAAGAGTTCACTAAAACCTGAGGGAGTCTCAAGTGTACATAGAAAATTTTCTTTAGGGAGAATATGGTGGCAATATTGAATACTCATATCCATTAGTAACACATATTTGCATAAAGTGATACCAGCCATAGCCTGAGCTAAGCTGAATTTTGCAGTCACTCTAGATTGGCATAGAAAGCGTTGCTCATTATCTACTTTTACAAAATATAGGGATAAGTCATCCCTTTTCAGCAAATCAGTTGGTCTTTAGACTCCATTAAACTCATTGTAAACTTACAAATAATTTGTCTAGTAAATGAAGTAACTATGTTTGGTCCAGTTGCAAGAGGTTAACTCTGCAAACGTTGGTGATTTGCTTCTGTTCCAGTGTAGTCTCAGTCTTAGTCTGCATTATTTAAGAATTACATGGCAGAGAAACAGTGGTTAGTTACTCTTGCTTAGCTTATCTCAGTCAGTAAACAGTTATTTCCTAAAAAAGATCTGTTAGGCAAAGAGATTAGAGTTAATTGTTCAAGAAACTTTCATTGAGTAGGATCTGGGCTTTCCTTTCTTTGGTATTTTGTTTGTTTGCCATATTCTTTCTATACCCCAGTGTGCTGGTATCACACCCTCTGAAAACAGGCATCTCACATTCTGGGATACCAAAAGCTTGCAGAGTTTCGACTCAATTTATAGGGCCCATGGATTTGCATTTTTAACAAGCTCCAGGGGGCATTAATTGATAACTGATAGAGGGAGAGTCAATCTTCCCCTAAGATGAGCTTCCTAATTGGTTATCTTAATACCTCATGATCGCCCCTAAACACATATACATAGGAGCAAAACTAAATGGACTCAGTAGTATTGTGTGATGTTTTCTCTTCTGGCTTTTTAAGGGGCCACCACCTGGTTTATTAATATTACTTATGAATGTCCAGCCTTAGTTTGGCTTGTTACTAGCCAGCTTTTCTTAAATTAACCCATCTACCTTTTTCCTTCTGGGCTTTTATCTTTCTAATTTCTGTATGTCTCACTTTCCTTACTCTGTTGCTGGGTGTCTGGGTGTCTGGACGTCTGGGTGTCTGGGTATCTGGGTGGCTGACCCCAGACATCCTCCTCTCCTTGTTCTCTTGCTCCTCTCTTCCTCCTTCTCTTTCTATTCATACTCTGTCTGACAGCCCCACCTATCCTTACTCTTGCCTTGCTATTGGCCATTTAGCTCTTTATTAGGGCCACCAGGTGTTTAAGACAGGCACAGTAACACAGCTTCACAGAGTTAAACAAAAGTTACACACCTTAAAATAACATTCCCCAACACAGTATGTTGTATTGATGTATTTATTGGGGTGGTGTGTGTGTGTGTGTGTGTGTGTGTGTGTGTGTGTGTGTGTGTGTATTTTAACAGTAATTGGCAGAGCAGGGTACTGGATGGGTTGGAGAGAGGAAAAGGAAAGATGGATGAAATGATATAACTTGAGGGGGTCACAGGTAGTGACGTCTTCACTAGATATTCAGGAATTATATATTTATAATATAAAATAAACAACTTACTTGAGTCAGGACAGAGTAAAGATAAGTAGGAAAATAGCATTTCATCACATGAACCAAGAAAATTTAATTGTCCTCCTTTTTATCCCCCCCTTTCCCCCTCTCCTCCTTTTCCTTAAGAAAGAATGGTGTCTTGGTTTGTAATACAGTAATTGTGTGCCCACTTAAAATTGTTTTTAGTTAATATCAATTCTCCTTAAACATGTCTTCCTTGGTAGAATTTTGAGTGCTCTATAGTTGAAGTGTATAGTCATCATGTCTGACA